GGGGGGGGGTATGAGTCTCAGGACATGAAGGGGTGGATGAGGAAAAAAATAAACGGTAAAGCAACAGAGACCCATCATCCTTCAGCTCATTCATAAAGTGGGAACCGTTCTTCTGGTGGTGAACATAGACGCAACACTTCCTTCTGCAGTTATTTATCATAGACAAATGCAAGAGTTGTGCTTGAAGAGTTAGTCAGTGAGTGCTTAGGAAGACAGGAGCCCACTTTATGAATGAACACATAATGGAATTAATAAAACGGTGAGCTATGAAGATGGAAGTTGGTGCCAGGGTAACCATTTGAAGCCAAATTAAAACTCCTCTGTGATTGCACTGGTTGCATACAGGAAATACAATACACAATGTGCAGAAATACAAAAGCAAGGTGTCCATCATATTTTCTAAAAACCAAATAAAAAGGCTATGTGTTTCCAATGCGCCGAAAGCCCTTACCTGTTCTGGTAGCTGAAATAGGCAACGTCTCGTTGGATGGTGCATAATTGTTTTCCATAGCAGCACAGAGTTTGGGGGGAAAACTCAAACTGCAGAGATAAAGAGGCAGAAAGAAACCGATGTGTCAGGATTTGTTATCAGAGGAATATTTGACACAGACCGAATACATTACAAAATATCAGTGTCATCCTCAGCCATGATAAGTGAACCAGGATCCACTTCGACAAAATCTGAACACTTTTGCACGTTTCTCTAGATTAATCTCATCTTGCTTAAACCTTACCCTTATCTAAATGCTAAAATGATGCTAAGCCTGTATCCTCATATTCAACAAACACTTATATCATTATTCTCACAGGAATATCAAACATAGCTGCTAGGAAGCAATTACAAGGACATGTCTTAAACCGGTATGAGATAATAATTGAAATCCTTGTCATGGAAATAATCAAATTATACACAATACTTTGAGAAAGCTTGGAAAGGGTTGGGAGAATCTTTCCAGAGCAGCCTTTGCTTAAATATGCCTTGATTACTACCCGCTGTATTTTCTGTCTCTCAAAACAGAAAACACCCCTTGTTTCTTGTTTCCTTTGTTTGAGTGTAATTGTACTGGAAAGACCTTAAAACATGGATCACTGTATAGATCCAACTCTGGATGATTGTGCAACCTGTTAATTAATACAATGTGACTTCAAATAAAGAATAAAACAAAAGGAATATTTTCCACTAAATCTACCGCAAACCCAATCCTGACCAAAATAAAAAAGCAAAATGTCTTCACTAAGGGGAATAATCCTCATCTGGGGCCAGACAACATTAGAGAACCACTCCTCACCTTCCTCCCGCAGCAGTACCCGAGGCCCTGCATGACGAGGTCGATCTCGGACTCGAACACCTCGGCCAGTTTGGAGCAGTACTTGTAGACGCGCGACGTCTTGCGGTTGTACAGCCAGGCGTTGTTGAACATCAGCCAGATGTCGTCCACGTACTGCCACGGCTCCTGGTACTGCCCCGTGTCCAGCTTCCTCTTGATGGTCGACAGGTCCATGGGGCTTTTCACGATGTCAAAGTAGTCCTGCTATATGGAGCCACCGTTCAGGATCATGTGGTAAAGTGGTTGAGGGGGAAGAGAAATAGGGAACAGAACAGTATGACCGTCAGCATCAGGGTGGTGGTCATCAGGTGAGATGATCCAGACGGGACCAGAGGAGGGAGAGAAGAAGAAGAGGGTGCAGGGAGGACAAGGTGGTTGAGCGCTGCAGAAGAGAAAGTTCGCGTGCAAACAGAGAGACATGACAACTTCTGCCCTCCAGCTCTCTGCTTTGCACCCTCATTTCAATCTGTGCTGCGTTCAGGGACCAGGAAACCGCCACAAGTCTGTCCAATCCTCTACCGCTAAATACTAAAAAGAAACCAGCTTAAAGGTAGGGTAGGTAAGAATGGAGAAACCAGCTCGAGTGCGCTAGAATTTGAAAATACACAACCGGAAGAAATCTGCCTCTTCCTTCAGACTTCCTTACAGAGCCCCTCCTCCAACACACACATGACCAATGAGGGCACGAGATAAGTTTGTGCACAGATGGAAGGCTGACAGGCAGGTAGGCCATCCAGTTATTTTAGCCGGGCCGGCTCAGATGATTGGTCGTGCTTTTTACAGCGACACAGATGACATTTATTCCATGGAATATAACAACAAGTGTTTCTGAAGTGAATTACCTACCCCACCTTTAAGCTAACATGTTTTGTATATATTCTTTAGCTGCAGGGATGACAGAGTTAGCATCATGATGGCTCTCTTGTCAAAAAGCCAATGGGATATTTTCATTGGATTTTGGAGTATTGCAGAAAATAAGATCAGTGGCAAACACACGTTTATGATACTTACACTTTTGTTCAGCAGGATCACCTCCACATATTAACACCACTTTGATTTTTAAAGTGAAAATGCAATCAGCAACATTTAACGTAAAGCACTGTAATTATGATTCTTGTGTTTTATACCCATCTTTTTCCATTTTAGCTTTCTTTTATTTTATCGTCCTTAAAAATGTATTTAAATGTCACTTTATAATATGTTTCTGCTGCACTATATCTCAATATTGTTAATTTTTTGTACAGCACTTGAATAGCCACTTGTTAGCTTCAGATATTTAACAGTGGGGTATTTACTGACGTATTTTTTGTCGTAGAACAAAACTTTAAAATATCACAAACTAGTGTCAACCACAGCCCTTATTGCAGGCCTTTAACCCCCAGAAAATAATACTTTTAGACAAGAAAGTGGTAAAATACAGACTAATTCCCAGGTTTGAAAACTCTGAAAGCTAAATGAGTGAAAATCATTATATAAATCTTGTCATTTAGCCACACTGCATGCTGGGGTTGGTTGTTCTCTGTTGAAATCTGAAGCCTTTCAGCCTCGGAAAGCATTTAGGGTGAAGAAGAACAGCGCAGTGGCAACAGGCAGACAGATATTCACTGTTTTTTTATAGAAGCAACATAGTGTCTGACGTTAACACGTGGCAATTCTATGGCAGGAGTTAAAGCCAACAGTGCTGAAGGGAAGTAAATGTAAAGAGGAGGTGCATAAGAATCCAAACGTCCTTTCCTGCTGCGCCTCAAAACCAAAATTTGAGAAAGGACTTGAGAATATGCGAGGAAAATAAATACTTCTTTTGGAAAATCAACCAAAGTTTAGAATAAGAAGATCAGGGTCCATCTTGGTGTCACCATAGCTTAGTGAGCAGACCCTTTGTCTTGAATACATCAGAAAAAGTGATAGATATTACAACTCACGGCCAAATGATTGAGTTATATAATCACACAACAGTGGTTAGCTGCATCACTTGACTTGTAGAGATGAGCCAATAGCCTCAAGCTCGCTCATCACTGCTCTAGAAATTGCGTTTATTAAAGGTCACATTGCACGAGGCAGCGGGGGGACGGACACCTTCACTCAGTTTTCAATATTTAGTGATTTTAAACTGTATGTAAGCACATACTGAATCTTCTTTTGAATTGAGGATTGTTCCCCCTCTAATTTGGATGTAATGAGGGTTAAAGTCATTGTCCCACCTCTGCACACGGCCGCATGAACACACTACTACTGGTGAGGAACTGAACTAGAAAGCTAGCAATGGGATGAAAACTAAAAAAGAAAAAAACATGATTTTAAATAAAACCTAAAATGTAAACGGTCAAACAAATAATAAGTGATAAATAAAAGCAATTGACTCATGAACAGTTGGAGTAGATGAAGTCCTTTCTTTGGACATAGTGATGACAGGTATTTATTTATTAAAAATAATACTCTGATGGATGCTTATATTACATTTTTGTTCGATTATTATATTCAGGGTTCGACAAATGTAATTTGCAATTGCGTTGTCAACACAAAAATCTTAATTTCCACGTCAACATTTCGTATAAAATATGTTTACTTTTGGACGTTGTTGCAGTTCCATCAAAGTAAAGGCAACTGTTCTTACGAGTCATTGCTTTGATTTACTAATGACAAGAACTTTACAAAAAAAAAAGGAAACACACTTTCAAATCTAATTTTCCTAACTTCTGTCATACCATGGGAGAAAAACTAAAAGATGAAATAAACTCGAAGCAGATGTTTTAAAATAGAAGTCAGACATATATGATAAAAGGAGAAATAAAAATGTAAGATGAAATAATGAAAACAAAGAATAAAAAAAAAAAAAAAGCTAAGTTTTCAGAGGAAGCAAAATGGCAGCCAGTGCAGTCCCTTACCAGGTTAGTTTTGTTACTAGTTCGAATACGTACGGGTATTCCCAGTAACTGGGGGTCCACCGGCTGGCGGAAGGGCAGGGACTCGGGGTCCTGCCGGTACAGAGCCTCCAGGGTCGGCATCAGAGCCTGGCGCAGCTCCTCCGGCTTGAAGACTGGAAGAGTAGCAGCGGGAAAAACAAAATTCAGGCATAAATGGGAACAGCTTTTCCTGCCTAATGCACACTTCTCTGACAACACCTGGAAGATTGTTGACATCCTCCTGGATCCGTATTTTTTTTATATACACGTTCAGATTATTATTTTTGTCATTCGGATTGTCTATGTTCCTATTTTTCTATCTTTTATAATCTTTACACACAAATGGGGCGAAGCCTGCGAGCTAGTTCAGGAAGTCAATTCGAGCCCCAATGATACATTAACACGTGATGCACCTCGTCCCTCTTACAACCAACCAAACACATTCTCCTAAACATGCCGCTCTATTTATCTCATTACTCACAAAGCCCTCAACAACCAGGCCCCCCCCCTACCTCACAGACCTGCTGCACCACCACA